AGACAATGGGGCACAAGACTGGAACGGGGCTAGGGCGACAAAACGTGAATACAATATATAATGCTAAAGACAACGAGAAACAAACGGGCCTGAAGATACTAGAAAGAACTGGCAGGGGAATGAACGTAGAGCAGGGAATAAATAGGGAGAACTAATCAGGTGCAGTTGGTGGTAATCAGGGGATATGAAGCAGGTGTGTCGGATAACGTAATCAAGGTAAGGGAGCAAAAACAGAGTGAGGGAAGTGAGAAAGGCAGGTGCAGCTGGGCAAACCTGACATTTAAGGCCTGAACATGTCCAAAATACGCATCATGTGTACATCTCTACTTTCAAGGTTGTTTAAGTGTAAGAGAAGAAAATAAATGTTTTTGTGTCACAGTTTCTTCATTTAACATTTTATTTGAAGAAGAAATTTCAATTTTTAAATTAGTTTTATTTGAAAGCGCCAGTTCACAACAACCATGTCAGGGCACTTTACATAGTAAGGTCCACACTTTACAGAATTATTGGGAAAATCCAATAAATTCAGTAAGGAAGATTTTTGAAATCTTCACATTTTCAGAGAATAAGGTGGCTTCCAGTATTTGATGGCCTTAGGTGAAAAGGCAGGTTGTGTAAAGTCCGAGCTTGCGCTAGGGATTCGAGACTCTCCTCAGTTTTTCTGAACAGATGTGCGCAGTGTGGAGGTGATACTTTAAACACCACAACAATGTCTGAATATAAAACCTAGTTGTTTAACATATTTACTCATTTCATTGCAGTTATGGTACTGCTATGGTTTTTAATCCAAACAACAAAGGAGAATTCGACCAACAGTCGAACCTCGGATTCAGGAGGAACAATGCGGTTTTCGCCCTGGCCGCGGAACACTGGACCGGCTCTATACCCTCTTCAGGGTGGTGGAGGGTTCATGGGAGTTTGCCCAACCAGTCCACATGTGTTTCATGGATCTGGAGAAGGCATTCGACCGTGTCCCTTGCAGTGCCCTGTGGGGTTACTCCGGGAGTACGGGGTCCGGGGCCCTTTGCTAAGGGCTGTCCGGTCCCTGTACGACCGGAGCAGGAGCTTGGTTCGCATTGCCATTGCCCAAGAAGGAGAAGAAAATGGAAATTCAATTTATGAATATGTGGTTTGGAGTTTGTGAGAGCAGGACTAAAATGGCAGTAGAGATAGTAAAGTCAAGTTCGCAGCCAGGGATTGATATAACAAAGCTTAGAAATCAGTGAAGAAATATCTGTGATGGTGCATAACAGGGAATAAAGTGTTTTCCATGGTGCGGGCCATGCTTCCAATTCAGTGAGCCTCGTGTAGTAGTTAAAAACAAACAAGGTACCAGTCCAGAGGTAATATGTAATAGAAAAGTATGTAGTTCATATATAGATAATATTTGTAATAGTTATGTAAGTGTTTATGTAAGCTTGATCTGTATCTCTACTCTTCTCTTGCACAAGCAAGAATATCTTGGCTGTGTCTTCCTTGTTTAATTTATGGGTAAACATCCAGAGCGAATTCCTCCTTAAATGGGGAATGGACATAGCTTCAGCCTTATGTGAACGGTTCGTGTGCTCTGTTCAGGTTTAGAGAAAGGAAATGTGTGCTCAGGCCATAGAAGGCTGTGTAACTGTGAAAAGATAAAGGTTAGGACAGCTGTGGGTTAGGAGGAGAAGGAATGATGGTGCTGCAGTCATGATTGTGCTTTTGGACCCAGCTGGGAGGACTCTGGACTCTGACTGACTGTACCCTCTGACCAAGACTGACTGACTCTCTGACAATGTCCTTGTTTAATACTGTATCTATTCCATTGCAGGAGGAGTGATTCTGTTCTCTGTTCCTGAACTACCAGCTTAACTACTACTCTGTTCAGAATAATTGTAATATTAAATGATTACTTAAATTGGGATGATTTGTCTGAATTAATTTAGTCTGTATCACATTCTAGATACTACACTATTAAAGCTCCAAACACCGCTTGAGGTTTGTAGGCAGAGATACCCAGTAATTACCATGAACCTATGAACAGAGTTCCCCGCAGGCCCCCCTCTTTCATGTTAGTAACTTAGAATAAGACCCATATCCTACTAAATCACTATCAATCTGCAGTTTAGAAAGCTACAGATGCAACCATCTTAAATTGCTGGCCATACCACAGTGGAACCATGCCTCACTCCTGACAGGTCTGTGCATAACCCCTACTCTTACCGTGTATCCCCCGCAATAACACAGTGATAGCCAAACTACCTTATTCATGCCCCTAAGCACTGCGTGTGCAAGCCATCCGCACTGTTGAATATAATTCACCAGGTGGAGGGAGTGTTTGTTGTAGTTTATGAAACTCTTGTCCTCTTGGATCTGATGGAGTGTTGAAGTTTGGTTTTTAATCGAAAGCCTTGAAAGTTCAGGATCGAAAACCACAGCAGATTGTTATAAACTTGTTAAATATGTTGAGAATTAAACGTAAAAGACATCACAGTCATTGTCTTCTCTTACTCTTTCTAACCAAACTTGAAAATAGAGCTGTACACATGATGCGTATTTTGGACATGTTCAGGCCATAAATTACAGGGTTGCAGAGCGGGGGACATGTAAGAAAGTACAATGACAAAAATATTTGCAAGATTCCAGCTACACTGTTCATGTGAAATCTGCTCTGTAATATTTCAAATAAACAACCAAAACAAAAGTTCAGCAGAGAAGCAAGGTGAGGTGAGCAGGTACTGACAGCTTTCTGTCTGGTCTGTGTAGAGCCAGAAAAACACACTTTAAGGATCCTGATGTACGTGTAAAGGATTACTGACACCGGACCACATACTGTGAGAAAAAAAGTAATGACTTCATAGATAATATTCACACTGGTGTCAGAGCATGCCAGTTTCATGATGTTGTAGGTGCCACAGTACACTTTGTTTATGATGTTCCCACACAGCTGTAATGAGGCACTCAGGCATGTTGCGACACAAACAACAATAAAAGGAGGTAACCATATAACAACAATGAGAATGAGAACCTTGTTATACGTCATCCGTGTGTTGTACTGTAGAGGAAAACATATAGCAATGTATCTGTCATAAGCCATGATGGCTAAATTGGTAAATTCTACACTTCCATATGTATACAAACAGAAAACCTGCAGGAAACAACAGGAAACAGAAACAGTGTGAATGTCAGAGAGGATCTGAACCAGGAGGAATGGAAACAAAGCTGTACTACCATACAGGTCATTGACAAACAGGCTGCACATAAACACGTACATAGGTTCATGTAACCCTCTGTTCATACAGATAACAACAATGAGCAACAGATTAGCACAAATAATTAAAATAAAAACAAACATAATGACAATGAAATATAAGTATTTTAAATCCCCAGTGTCAAAGTAGGCAGCAAGTATGAAATATGAAACCTGTGTAGAGTTTATCATGATCCTGTTTTTACGATGCAAAACAGTAACACTGAACAGGAAGAACGTTATATATGTCATATTTTGTTATACATCTGTTAATGTGCAACTTGTTTAACTGCTAAAGAATCAACACACATACTACCAGACTTACTTTCATTCATGAAATGAGTAAGAACCAAACTGTGTCTGACACTGTGAAAGACAACGAGTGCCTCCTAAGTGAACTGAAACTCTGCCTCTGCCTTTTTTAAACTTCAGTCAGTGGACGCCCACAGCAGCAGACTGATGTCATTAGCATGGTTGCGGTCATTACTGTGCAGATGTATGTACAGTATATGGAGATATATTTGCATGAACACATACTATGTGTGTGATATATAACAGGTTATTATCCATACATATTAAAAAAGAAGGCTAGGGAGATCACGTGACCCTTGAACAACGATGCTGGTTTAGGCTCTAGCTCTGCCCAAATAATTTATTTTTTCAATAATCCTCCCTATACGCACGGGATATTTTGACATCTCTCTCAATGTGAATAACTCAATAGCCAAAGAAACATGGAAACGAGAGCTTGAACATTCGCTATCCAAGAAACATTCAAAGATTCATCCATCCCTAAAGAAGAACTTGATGCTACTATTACCAACTGCATAAAGCTAGCTGTTCAAGAATAGTGTGATGGACTAGATGCAACTGTTGCCTCAGCAGTAAGAGAAGCAGGTGATTCTGTTCTGGTTCCTGTATTACGTGATATACGTGTGGATGTTAAAAAGACTAATGAAGTTGTAAACAAGATAAGTGCTGAATTTGTGAAACTAGCCACAGCTGCTAAAAGGAACCAAGATAGAGTCAACTCAGATCAAACAGCTGCACGAGAAGATAGAAGATCAGTAGTCGACATTAAGAAGCAGTTGGAGCAGATCACCACTAAACTGACCGAGAGAGAAGACAGGGGTCAAAAAAACAATATAAGGTACATTGGGTCTACCAAATCAAATCAAATCAAATCAAATTTTATTTGTATAGCGCCAAATCACAACAAAAGTCATCTCAGGACACTTTACAAAGTAAGGTCCCCATCTACCAGAAGGGGAGGACGGCTCCAACACAATCAGTTTTTTCAAATCCACTCTTTCTAAGTAGATCCCATCACTGAAGGGATGAGACATTGACATCGAGCAGGCACACTGCACATATGATGGGCAAGATCACAGTGCCAACAAACCCTGCACGTGTTTTTATTTTTGTGCACTATCAAGGTGGGACAGATCAGATTTTCTTAAAGGTGCACCAAAGCATATCCAGTAAAACACATACTGTTTTGTTCTTCCCGGACTTCAGTCCTACCACATCTATGAAGAGATAGAACTTCAGTGCTGCCATGAAGAAGGCCACAGCAGTGGTCTCGGAGCGGTTCCTCATCTTCTTCTTCTTCTTTTGGCTGTTCCCATCAGCGAATCATCTGTTTCCACCAAACTCTATCCTCGGCATCCTCTACTCTCACACCAATTAACTTCATGTCCTCTTTTAGCACATCCATATATCTCCTCTTTGGCCTTCCTCTTGACCTCTTGCCTGGCAGCTCCATCTCCAACATCCTTCTACCAATATAACCACTATCCCTCCTCTGCACATGTCCAAACCATCTCAATCTGGCCTCTCTGACCTTGTCCCCAAAACAGTCGACCTGAGCTGTCCCTCTGATGTGCTCATTCCTAATCCTGTCCATCCTGGTCACTCCTAAAGAGAACCTAAACATCCTCATCTCTGCTACCTCCATGTCTGCCTCTTGTCTTTTCCTCACTGCTACAGTCTCTAACCCATACAGCATAGCTGGTCTCACTACTGTCTTGTACACCTTTCCTTTGATTCTTGCTGACACTCTTCTGTCACACAACACTCCTGACACCTTTCTCCACCCACTCCAACCTGCCTGCACTCACCATCACACTGGACTTTTGACCCCAAATACTTAAACTCCTGCACCTTCTTGACCTCAGCCCCCTGTAACCTCACTGTTCCACTTCCCTCCCTCTCATTCATACACATGTATTCTGTCTTACCACAACTGACTTTCATTCCTCTTCTTTCCAGAGCAGACCTCCACCT